AAATGAATATATCCCCATCCTTCAGTGGTGGGTATAAAAAGTAAAGAAATAAGTAAATTAAACAAAAAATGGCAAACAAATCGGAAGAACACAAAAATCACATTCAAACATAAAATCTGTGTGTGAAAATTTCCAAAACAAGATGATGTATGGTGTGCAGAATCTATAAATGCAATGAAGGACACAGCTTTACGTATAGCGAAATTCAATTTTGAAAGATTATAAGAGTGGCAATCACGGATATCACGGGAACGGACAACGTTACATTTAAGCTTTTTAAATTACGATACGCAGGTCGTGTGTTTTACTCTGCCTATATAGGGAGGAAAATTTCAATCTGTCACAAATGATTTCGAGTCATTGCACAAATTCAGTTAAGAAAATGCAACATGGTCGTGTTAAGGAGCAAAAATTGATATTAATTGAAGACAAATTGCATGGGACAAGCAGCAGTCGTTTCTCGAAAGTATCGGTATCCAGAAGAATTTCCCCAAAGAGAATAAAAATGTAAGAACAAGACATAACAACATAAGCACAATAGTTGTCAAATTCGCTCTTAAATATGCCACCAACTAAAAGGGTAAAAAGATTAATAAAGAAGTACCAGACGTGAGAAGATTTACTGAATGGAAGAGGAAAAGTTAATAACATAGACAAATCGTCTAAGATTAAATAAATAATTTAGATTTATTTTCTATATATGTTCAAAAAATGATTGTTCTGTAGCCATTGTGTAATATTATCACCAATTGTTTCGTTAAATTGTTTTCATTGTTAAATATTTCTCCATTGAACCCGTTTGAGTTCTTATTTATATTGGACTTTATTTATTGCGTACATGTACATGTGCCATTTTTCTTTAATTAATAAAATTACTCTCATACATATGCACATATATAAGTTGATAATATGCATGTAATTAATAAGAGCAACCGAACGGCCAAAATCCATGCCATGTCGCTGGTGTCGCTGTAGCTGCTACAGCATACAGAAACACTTGCTGTTTTTTTTGTTTTTGCGCTTTTTGTTTTTCTCTCGAATAATGTTATCTGCATTAATTTTATTTTCCGCAAATTTATGTGCATTTTTTATTTCTGTGTGTTAAATTAAAAAAACAAAAAAAAAAAAAACTTGATATAAATTCATTCATTTAGGTATGTTTGCGATTGCGATTGTTGTTGTTGTTGTTGTTTGTTCACTTTCACTTTCAGCGTATTCAGTATTTTACATACGTAACGTGATATTGTTTTGCGGTTGAATGCAATACCCAATGGCAAGGGGCTAATAAAAATTTATTCATACGTTTTTGTATTTGCAGGCAATGTAAAAAGTAACATGAAAGGATATCACTGTTATAAATAACGACATGCGAAAAAAACAACAACTAAAATAAAAGCAGAAAATAAATGTATACGGACATACATGCATGCATGCATGCATGCATGCTTGCATGCTTGTCTTTTGCATGCATGCATGGTTCTGAAGATTGGTGTGGTAATGACAGCATGCAGATAATAATAACTAAGGAGGTAAGTCAAGGGTTTTTCTTTGCTTTATATTTTGTTTATGTTGTTATAGTTTTTTAACATTTTTTATTTATTTTTTTTTTTTACTTTCACTCCATTTGCAATGCAGATAAATAGCATTGCGTGCTGTAAATGATATGAAATTTAGGTTTAGGTCAAATGAAATCGAAATTATATCGCTTGAGCAGAGTATGTAAGGATAAAATAAAAATGTAGATTTTAGCAAAGAACAAAATTAATGTATACCATAAGTTTATGGATGCAAATGAATTTGACCTGATTTCTTCTAAATTTCCGTTTTCTTTTTTTCTCATTCAATTGATTTTTTAAGCATAAAAGCAACATCATCAAGGACAAGATCTCTTAAAAACTGCTGATGAGTGCTAATGAAATCGACTTTGACCTGCTAATGTAATGCTTTATAAAATAACTTGATACGAAATCTGTGACTATTTTTTTTCTTTTAATCTTTGGTAAAATTATTTTTTGCATAACTGAATAACAACCAGAGTCAATTAAATGCATTAATAGTAAAATAAATGCTGAGCAGGTTTTTGAAGATGTCAAAATTTCCGACAAGTGTGAAAGTCCAACTTTTTAATGTTATGATCGGTTTTCGATGTCACACTTAATATCTTCCGAATTGTACGTACGCTAGTAGTTTTGAAGAAGAGTGTGGCCATGTTATTTGTCAGCGTCATATGCCCCCTTACCTGGAAGTCTTTAATGCGTAACAACCTAAAGCAGTATATTAGGATCGTAAAAGAATTTTTTTAATTTGGATCGGGTTTGACTACAAGTCCTTTAGAAGGCTTTAGGAATGTTTTATATCAAATCATTTCTATGCGTTATATTACAGCTTTCATGCTAGTGTTTATGTCAGGATTACAACCACGTCTGCGTTAAGAATTAAAATTTCTTCACCTTTTAGATTGATGCCTCCAGGGGATTGTAAGCTTCGTATTTTAACTTTTATGACCACATGTATAGTCGCAAAAGTAAGGGACAACAAAGTCATTCACAGACAAATACACAAATGTCCAGACAGACACGTCATAAAGTCATAAAGACGCATAAACAGGCTAACAGAAAGGACACATAGACAGACAGACGGACGCGCAGTGCTAAATCTAGTTATGGATACATGTGGAATACCCATATACACCTTATCATAATATTGACGAGCATTCCGGTTTCCTGAAAACGCAGGAGATAATCTATTTTCCCCTCATACTTCGGCAATGGATATGTAAATAACTCGTTTCATAATTTGATATCTGGTGTAAGCAAAATTGCCCTGTCATTGCACGTTCGATCTGATGCGAGTTAATATAATTTCATTGTCATATACCCGTGTGATGGTCGGGAATATTTTATTCAAATCAAACGGTATAGTCTTATATAGCGATCGGTACTTAATATGAGATTCGTGTTCTCACAAACGATAATTTAATACAAGAAAATAAAATATGTTTAACATTATTTAGGGAAAGCAGAAGGCATGTTGCATTGGCCTATATTCAGTCCTCCTACGCGATAGAGTATCTTGGTAGCCGGCATTAAAAGAAATATTGGAATGAAGTGAGGCGATTTTAATATTATCCCCTTATGTAGGTTTTTTCCTCAAAACACTTAAGGAAAGTGAAGAGAAAGAGTTTCAAAAAAAAAAAAAAAAAGCCAAAGATTAAAAACTATTTGTTATTGTGCATCGATATTGTTCGTTTACTTTTACTCTTCGATTTTAATAGGCTATGTCAGGCATTAATACAACACAGCTTTTGATATAATACTTCCAAGAAGTTATTCGGCTTTACATTAACAGTATACAAGAGAAAAGAAGGGAAAAAAGGAACGCAATAATCTCTATCACAGTAGAGTCTATTTCATTAGAGTAGGTGTTACTGGTTAAAAAACCAACAACAAAACAAATGTTTGCTAGTTTTCAGACTATGGACGTCAGATTTGTAGTTGTTTGGCTTCATATTGTTTGTTGGGCTTCAAGGATGCACAAAAAAGTACTTAAGGTCTTATCAAATCTTCAATAGAAGTGAATATTTTTCCTTTAGACAAATCTGTTTTATATGTGGTAGAGTTCAAATCACGTAACAACACGCTTTCGTGTATTGAGACAACTACAATTATTCACATAAAATGTACTTAATTCATGGGGTGCTTGCATGTATTTTGATCATTTTTCATTTGTTGAAAAAATTTGTTACAACATATATAATATTAATTAAAATATTTTCCGCCATTTTCTAAAACTTTTTCTCATATTTCTGGCAACGTGGCGATATAACGAAATAACAATATAGCGATTTTAGCACTTTTTGCAGCATTCCCGAACCGCATGCCAGCGGAAGTAGCAGTCAGAAGGCGATATGTCCGATGACTACGCTGGGTGCTGCAGAACCTCCCTATCGAGCTGCAGCAGTGTATACTTGACAAATCTTGCAACGCGTGGCCGAGCGTTGTCATGCGTTGTCACGACTTTGAGTCTGTTAACCGTCACTGCTGGCCTTTTTTGGAACAGTATTCCTGTTCTGTGTCGATGTGGATGGCTCTCCTCGACTAATGGATGATTTTTGGCGTTTAGGATTATCGTAGTAGACTCACTGTGTATCGCCTCTCCTCGTGCGCCTGCCAAGGAATGAAATCGCGATGTTGAAGCGATTCAAAATGACATTTTCATGTAGTAGCCGTTCGCGTTCTTTTTGGATCTTTTTCATCGGATATAAACGTCTAGAGGCAGTCGATTCATCAGCTAAGCTAAGCTATTCGAAAGCTCTTTAACAATTTGGGCCGGATGTACGTCCAATAAGTCTTGCAATTTCGGGACATGATAGAGCCGCAATACCATAGGCTTATAAAAATACTAGATGCAAAACTGTTACGTTAAGTCAAAATCATCGAATTTAATCGTTGTGTACATTGATACGTTGCATTACTTTATCATTTTGTTGCAATACATGCAAGCACCTATTATAAGGAACGTGAAAATGGTTCAAACGGTATCGTCATTCCTTTCTAACAGTAATGATAAACACACGCTAGTCTATCATGTCGATATAACGAAATTGAAAATTATAACAAACTAACATGCGATATATGGCATGCGATGTAATTCATTTGTAATGAATGAGAAGCCCTTTCGAGCTTGAGTAATAACGTAAACTGTACAACGAACGACCGTACGGCATAAAGAATGTTGTTCCATTTTTTTTTTATTTCTGGAATAATTCCAGATAAGTTCGTGTATATATTTAAAATATTTTAAAATGAAAATTCTCACTTAAAAAGATGTAAACACATATACATGTATGTACAAGCACGCATTGCTTGTTTGATTTTCTACTTTTGTTTTTGTACATTTTCTGTTTGAGGTTCGTTGAATAGTGAAAGAAAAATTTCTCATTAACTTTTGTTATCGTTATCTTTATATTTTTCTTATATTGTTTGCATTTTCATACTTACTCTTCTTCTTCATCATCATCGTTATTGTGATTGTTGTTATTATTGTCAGTGTTCTTGTTGTCCATATCTGGATTACTTTCGTAAAACACATCATCTTCCTTGGATTCAATTTCATCATTATTGTTATTATCCAGATTCTTATCATCGCTAATGGTATCCTCAATATCGTCCACATTGCTGTTGTTATTCTCATCATCTTCTTCTTCATCATCCTCATCATCATCCTCATCTTCATTATTCATATTATTATTTTTATTTATATGTTGATTGGCCCGATGTTTGGCTTGCTCTTCTATATACTTAGATTTAGTTATGATCACATCCCTATACGAGAGTAAATAAATAAATATATTGAAGGATTTCATATTCAATTTTTATATCAACGCATTACGTATTTTAATATTTATACCGATTTTTATGAAGTTCTTTTTTCGAGACACAAACAGCACTGTATTCATTCTCCAATAAACATATTTCACGTTTCTTGCAATTTAAAGGGCGGCACAGATCACCTGAACGGATATTTAATGTAAAGAAAAAATGGAAAAAAAAAATGTTAAATTTATCATCAATATGGGAATAAGATAATAAAAATCCCTACAGTATTTTAGTCAAAATAAATTCAATATTATTGTAGCACAATATAAAGGTAGCACACATCAGGAAGAAAATTTTAATTTCCTGATCGTTGAGTTATTTCATTATAAACGTCGACAAAGCGCTTGTCTGTTCCGTTAATAACGCAGTCCACAAAACTTTATGCCTTGTACATTTAGCAAACAAATTTCTAACGCAGCTGACAATATCCGTCGCGTTAATAGGTCGTATGTCGATAACCTTTATCGATGGCATGTCGCTGATCAAAGTCGGGAAAATGTAAAAGTAATGTAATGTAATGTAATGTAATGTATGCGACTCATCAGTATATGATTCCAAATAAGCAAAAGAGGATTCAGGATTGATGAGAAATTAACAAATTCCATAAACGACATCTTCAACAGAATAATGTTTATTACAGATATTGCGCAGATAGGTATACGGGCCGATGGACGAACGAACAGAGGGACATGCACAACCGGATTCCGAGTTACAGAAGCCTTTTGCGAAAATTTGAATATATATTTTTTTAATAACTTACGATTTACGCTAAATCGAGAATTGAATATCGCCATCCAAAGGAGCAGGTGTTTTAACACAAACTGCTTGAACTGAAGGATGGGGATAAAAAATTCATTTAATTTCTTATCGAGTGTAAATTTTTTTAATACACAGTGATGTCTTTTCCGATTCGTCAATATTGAGTTCAATAAAAATTGATATACTTTTCTATGCAAGAGAAAAATAGCTTTCAAAAATCTCTGACCGGCCTTTAGCTACTTATTTATTTGTTCTACGTTTAAAAGCTTCGTTTATCCTTAAATACTAAGATCTAAATATCTTCGGTTTGCTTTAATAGCGTTTTGAACAAAAACAATAAAAAAAATGTAAACCAATGTTAACAGTATTGGAAAATAAGTCAAGTAAAAATAATATTTCCAGCTATTGATATCAAGCGAATAGATCCGTTTTCTTTTTGATTGAATAATTATTTTCAACCAAAAAACGAATGACGAGAAGATGAAAAAGATTCAATGAAATTTCACTTTTTTCTTCTCTATGCGCGTGTTGGACTGTGAATTAACCTTTTTCTTAAACAATTTAATTAAGGAACAATAAAATGAAAATGCTCTCCTTATGATACTTACTGGTGGGATCGTGTATCCAACGTTTTCGTTCGCCGTTATTAATTGCGCTATTCTTTGGTAACAGTTGTGCATTTTTATTAACCTGAAATAAATAATTGATGAGAAATTAAAGCACACGTTTTCTCGTATCTATCTATATATATATATATATATATATATATTATTTATCGATATTAAGCTGACGCAGTATTTAGCTGACTGATACAACGTTAAAACAGTTTCGTGTACGCACGATATGAAAATCAATAAAAATTCAATTAATTCTATAAAGCTATTCACTTATAAATACTTTTCGAGAGCCTTCATATTAATTTTCCACATTTTTTGTTTATTTGCATACGTTTTTAAATGACATGCTTGAACGATCATTTTTTTATGCTTCTTTCGGTTTTTACTGATGTTAATAAAAAAAAACATCCAAAATAAAAAAAAACTTTTTTGTATGTCTTTATTATGTCATATTCTTAATGTAAAATTTTTCATATCATGTAAATGCTTTTTTATATTTATCGCTCTTTGTTTTTAATAACAAAACTTTAAATTATCTCAATAGTTTTAATGGCATATAAATTGTTTTACATTTATTTAATCTCTTAAGTGGAATTTTCAACCTCTTATTTAAGATAACAATTATATATCAGGGCGTATGAGTAATGTTTGATTAAAGATTAAGTATATGTGCTGACAAACGTACTATGATAGAGATAATATCGCGCAGTCATTTTTAAGATATTCGCACACATAAGACGGCCTATACAAATAAGGAAAGAAATATGTCTGGAAATATGGTTTACATATCGTAGAGTTATAAAGTATTGAAAATAAGATTATGAGAATTCGAAATAAAATTTCGTTTACGCAAATAACTTGACATGCACCATTGGAGGCAATTGAGAAGAACTTTTAGGCAGAAGTAAAAGTAACCGTTACTGTAAACTTTAATATTTCCATTTACGATCACTCGTTTCTTCATTTACTCCTAAGATGTTTGCTCTGTTTATTTTACTCAATGTCTCTTTTGCAATTTTCAATTATTATTAAGTGCTGTACTGTAATTAAAATGACGGATCGTTTGATTCGGTTTTTATCCGATGCTTCTTAACTGTCAGTACTAAGTGATGTTTAAATTTTAAGCTAGAAATAGTTTTGCTGCTGGTATTGATCGAAGTTTATATTATGCTTATATTAGGCTATATAGAAAGTCTGTGCGGGATTGTGTTAATGCCTATATATGGGGCAACACTTACCTGATTGTCTTAAACGAATATGTGCTTAAAAGATAGTTTTCTAATTCTAATGCTCGTCTAAACAATTATATTGTTTTAAAAGTGGGTGAAATATCTGAAGAAATACTCTATGTGATGCTTTTTTACTATAAGAAAAAGTAAAACGGTCAAAAACGTGGCGAAAAAACTGTCTGTGAAGGACTCAGGAATAGTTTACTCAATTCCGTTCCGGAAATTACGATGTCAAAGATGTACCTCGCTCTGGTCGAAAAAATCGATTAAATTTTGCAATTGGTGGAGCAACACCGGCACGTAAGCTATCATGAATAGCGGAGGCACTAAACATCAACCACAGCACAGTTCGGAATCAATTGAAAAGGTCTGGCTACTGAAAGAAGCCTGAAACCGCGAAAAAAGCCGCAAAGACTTTTCATATGACCCATTATTAACAATTGAATTTCAACCAAATTGTTTAGATAGATTCTCGATATCGATTACTTTAACTTTTTGTTATAGTTTATAAAAAATTAGAAGAAATATCAGAAAATTTAATTGTTTTTATTATTTGATTCTAAGTTATTAATTTTAAATTGCAAATGGGAAGAGAGACAGAAACTATCATCACATCTGAAAGGCTTTTGTAAACAAATGGGATGGCAAACTGAAGTTTTTAGGTTCAAGTTCTTATAAACTTTAGCATTCGTATAGCGTACCGAGCAGGAGAGAGAAATTCTAACTTAGTTTTACTCTTATATGTTTGCTGATCCGTTCGACTTTGGCTAATTAATGAAATTCTTAAAGTGATATATGTTAAAGTGGAATATTTAGTCTTAAATTGAATGTACAGAGAGAAGAGTAGCATAATCAACTTCAAATAACTAAAAAAGTGAAATAACTTATGACTGTTGGTTTCGTTCCAAGACCGTGACCTCAATTATTGCAGTACAACTTTAGATGTCTGTCTTGTATGTCGCTCGACATCGCATCAGCTCATGTTGGTTCGTGTCGACTCCCTAAAGAGTGAAGGGCCGATTTTTCGGCGAGATTTTAGCCGAAAACTTGCCCGGCTTCGGCTAAGATTGTTCAAATCCCGCCTTTCGTCGTCCGTGGTTTTTAAATTCAAATTATCCTGATAAATTCTCATAAATAATAATAATTTCATGTTTGAAAATCTGAAGTATGGGATCAACATGGCCGAGATCCGCAATACGACTGCAGTTGAAAGGAAAGTGTTTGAGATGTACCGATGATACGAAACAGCTTGATTTATTTGGTTCTTTCCTTATAGGCATTTATTTAAACTGGAATGCGACATATTTGTTAATGTGGCCAAGGCAGATAAATAATCTTAAAGTTGAAACTTAAAATTTGAAAATTTCTGAACTCTGAATGGTTCAGTGCATTTTTACAAAATCCATTCACCCATTATTATGGAGTAACGATATTATATTGCTTTCACAAAAAACGTGCGTCCTAAAGCGGCTTCAAATACCTTACAAAATACATACATTATTTATCAATATTAAATTCCGTATCTATGTAGGTATGTTTGTCCCTCTGTCTATCTATTTGCCTGTGTTACCTCTAGTCGCAAAAATGAAGATATCGGCTTCAAATTTGGCATAAATATTGGAAGTTGGTTGATACTAAAAATATCAATGACAACAAATCAGTCAAAAGGCACACCCATAGCGCAAGAGAATCTCAGTTTGTAAAAAAAAAAAAAAAGAAAAAAAATGGTTTACTCATTGCTCATAATCTATTTCTTTCAGTCTTAAGATAGAAGCGGTGAGTATAAAAGCCAAGAAGAAAATTTTCTTACTTTTTTTTTTTTTTTTTGAGCTAAGACTAGTCGCGTAAAATTGAATAAAAGTACAGATTGTTTTTTTTTTCTTTCTTATATTCGTAAAAAGCGATCTAGTTGTGTATCCTTGATTCTGGTAGATGCCATGCATGTCCTTGGAATTATTATATTAAATAGTTTATTGCTAAGTGAAACAAAAAAAAGTTACTTTAAATAACTTAAGTGAATGATTTAATATATTCGAAAAACCGATCAATGCGTCATCAATGAGCAGAAAACAAATTTAACTTATTAGTTCTATTCGGGAATAAACATAAACGCTCTATGAATGGCAAAAAAAGTTATGCTATCTAAATAGAAAAGTCGTTTACTAAACGTTTGACGTTCAATGAATGAAGCGCCTGAAGCTAATATGAATTTGCCCGGATACAGTTGCTTAGTAAAGCTACTTAGTCTATTGATTTTAAAATTCACGTTCATATTGAAAAGCAAGAATAAAAATAGAGTATATCCATCAACTATGTAGCGAAAAGCCAAATAGTCTGATATTAGCATATGTGTGTTTATATAAATTTATTGTGCACGGATATTGTTCTAGTTTTGATTAAAAAATTTCCACCAAAATGCATAAAATGTTATAGTATTGCAAGTATGTATATTTAGAAGGGAAAACAAAAGGATATGGGATGTAGCATATTTTATATACATATACATTTAGCTTTATATATATATATATATATGGAGTGGTCCAATTATTAGATTTTCTCTGCTTTAATTTGAAAAATATATTTGTTACGCAGTTAAAAACCAACACTTTATTATTTATAATGTAAGTTGATAATGTACCATGCACATGTATATATATGCAGAGCATTATTATTCATATGTCCAACAAGACTCTTTTTACGAGTATTATGAGGACCACACCCAGTGGCTCGTTTTGATTCCTCACTCATTTATGATGTTTATATGAATATTTCCATTCAAAGTCCTAACCGCGGTCTTCGAATGCGATTGCGAGCGATTGATAGGTCCAACCCGAATGACTTGAGTGTTTAAAAAAAAAATACGGCGATGGGCTTCTGTTTTTGGAAATTCCGTGGAATTGATGTTAGTAAGTGATATCTAATCCAGTTTCCGTAGTAGAAAAACAATAGTGTTATCGGTCGCTGTCTATGGTTTTACTTAAATTAACTCTACTTTTACAGAGCTGCGTGCAAGAATTTCCAGGGTGTCTAACAAAGTTAAAGTCGATTGTTCCAATTTTGCGGTAGCAAGAGTGGTTAAACCAGACATTACACAGACGGACAGACGGACATCCTTAAATCGATTTAGAATTTGATGCTTATCCAGAATGTATATTATGTGGGATCTTTTATGCTTGCTTCTGGGCGTTTTAACAAAACGAATATAACCCTCATCCTTCGATCATGGGCATAAAAATGACATGTCATCGTAAGTTATTACTTTGAAGTTAACAAAAAAAAAAAAAAAAAAAAAAAAAAAAAACCAATACATGAAGTACCCTATAGAAGCATACTTATTTTCTTTTAGCAATGTAAATATAAATAAAGCATTTTAATGAATTTAAGAATATACACGGGTGAGTGTGTATGCGTGTTGCAAAATATTAAATTTTGCCTCCCATCTTCCACATTGAACTGTATGTTTACTTTAAATCGCAGACGGATAATACGGGCAGAGAGAGAGAGAGAGAGAGAGAGAGAGAGAGAGTGAGTGAGTGAGAGAGTGGTAGAACGGGAAGAGGGTTCAGTTTTTGAAAGACAATTGAAAGCTTATAAATCCTTCCCAGTCCATGAAAGTATGCATTTACTCGTACATGCAATCGTGAAACCATTAGTTTGGTTATGAGAATGGAACACTTTTTTGGTTATATCAAAAGCAGTCCATTGTTCAAGATAAACATGCATTGTTCGTGTGTGTGTGTGTGTGTTGTGTGTGTATTCGGTTTAAAAAGCAAATAGAGCATGATGTTGAAATGAAAGAAATCTTTTAAAATCCTCCACTATCTAGGATGCACTTGCATACGCT